TCATTAATGCATTCTAAAAAATGTTTGGAGAATATGTGCTTTCATAATGTCCATGGATCAAGTTTAGCATATACTCCTTCAGTTCTTTTTTATTTGTCAAATTTTGACTTGATACCATAACCTCGAGTGATAATTACCCATGTAAAGTTCAAGTTTATGCTCATATTGGAAACATGATTGGTTTGTATGTACGTACATGAATGAATCTTTATAAGGTTAAGTAAGCTAAAATAGTTCAAAAATACTTTTAATATCATGTGATATCATCTGCTTGTTGTTGAGTTGAAACAATGACACTTTAATATGGTGTAATATTATTCCTTTTCTATATACACTTGTATAAACACTAACTATTAATTATTGATTCCATGATTTGTTTACTTTAATACTTTTATTATAAACTATATCCAAATGTGGTTCCATCATCATATCTACTTTAATTTATTTTAGTGGAGCCTGAAAGTGTACTAATCCACTTGCTGTTGTTTCTCTTGTTTAAAGTTCTTAATGTTCTGGTGATATTGGATTACACATATATATTTAGTGTAATCTCAATGGGTTTTGAGAAGAGTAAAATGTATATCAACCTTATTTTTATCATATATATATAAAGTAACTGTTCCCGGTAAATCCTCGATTTAAAAAAATAATTTTAAATAGTTTGGAAAGGAAATATAGATATGAGAGTAGTAACAACAATAAAATAATGCGAAATGAAAAGCATTATATAAGAAATAAAAGAAAGATTAGTAATGACAAAGAAATAATACCATAATCAAAGTACAAAAAATATATATAATTACCAAAAAGAAACTATAAAGATAATGCTAATACTACTGATAAGAAAGAAGGTCAAATTGTGTGTCTCTATGCTAATACTACTGATAAGAAAGAAGGTCAAATTGTGTGTCTCTAGTACAATCATACACTTCCATTTTATTCCATTTGTCATTAAATATTCAAGAATAATTGTGTCCATTCTTTAAATCTTCACTCAAAGTTTATATTTTATTCTTTATAAACAAAGAAGAAACATATTCCATCTTCATGTGGGAAAAGTATAAAATTATTTTAACCACAAGAGTATGTTTGATCAAGAACAAGATCCTATCTCTTAAACCCTTCGGGGTGGCTAAATGGTTTGGACTTGGGACTATCATGTTGGAGGTTTCAAGTTCGAAATCCCTTGTCAGCGAACCGAAAGTAAAAGGAGTTTACCTTCTGGGTCAAGCTCGTGGCACCGGGCTTGCCTAGTGCGGATTATCTCTATGTAATTTGTAAGCTATTGCATAGGCGAGCGAAGTTTTACCCTGTGCGCACCCAATGATAGCTCATAAAAAAATATCCTATCTCTTAAAAATCCAAAATCCAATATATGAGCACTATTGCTGCATTAACCTTTGTATTGGCTGTAATCCTCAGGTAAATGATTTAATTAAAGGATTAGTAGCACTTTTAATTAATTAGTTACTACTAATAAATTCTGATTTTAATCCTCGTGATGTATAACACATCTAATTAACCATCAATTATTAAAGTCTGTACTTAATTTTAGTTCACATGATATATGTAACGTCTTTTTAGTAATGGATACAAAAGATATCTCCTACTTCCTTAGTGATTCCAAGAAGATGCTTCAACCCCGTAAAGTTTTAGCTGGCCATCACGGTTCAATAAAGATTTTCAATTTCGATTTGGAATTGTTGAGCAGTAGGTTAAAGATAACCTCCTTTGAAGTACCCTGTGTGGATTCGGGGGCTGCTTCTGTGCTGGCTTTGCTAGATCACACTTGTCACTGACAACATGAATTAGTTATATTGGAGTAGCACAATCAACTTTCTAAACAATCATAGTACAACACAAAAGAGCTGCTTGAATTATTGGTTTCAACATTGATAATGTATGGGGTAAGAAGGTTCTCCAATTAATTTCTCTAATTATGTTGTTCGGATTCATAAAAAATGTCGCTCAATAAATGTCGAATTTCTAAAATGATAGTACATTTTTTGGAACATTCAATACAAACACGATAATATTTTTTGAATAAAGTATAAGTAACATAGCTTTCTAGTGAATTTTAGTGGAGCCTGAAAATGTACTAATCCACTTAGGGGTTATTTCTCTTCTTTAAAAAGTTCTTAATGTTCTGGTGATATTGGATTACACACACATACTTAGTGTAATCTATAGATTTTATAAATTTTGAGAAGGGCAAAGTGTACACAAATTTTACTTTTATTTTATAGAGATAGAACGATTGTTTCCGATAAATCCTCGATTGAAAAAGGAAATATAGATATAAAAACAATAATAACAACAAAATAATGCAAAATGAAGAGGATTATGCAACAAATAAAAGAAAAATTAGTAACAAGTATGACAACGAAATATACAATAATCGAAGTATAAAAACCAGAGATAATAACCATAATTGAAGAAGAAAGAAACTATAAAGATAATGCTAATACTACCAATAAGAAAGAAGGTCAAAATGTGTGTATATAATACAATCTTACACTCCCATTTTATTCCATTTGTCATAAATATTCAAGAATAATTGTGTCCATTCTTTAAATCTTCACTCAAAGTTTATTTTTTTCTTCTTAACAAACAAGAAACATATTCTATCTTCGTGTGGGAAAAGTATAAAATTATTTTCACCACAAGAATATGTTTGATCAACAGCAAGATCCTATCCTATCTCTTAAAAATTAATTCCATATTAATTGTCTATATTAGCTAGTAGTAAATTGTGGTCATTTTATAAAAGAAAAAGGGTGATTTTTGCAAAGAAATATGGCTGTGGAGAAGTTCAAACTTCATCTTCTTATGATTTTAGTACAAATTTGCTACGCTTTTCTTTATTTCATTATTGAAGCTTCATTCAACCATGGGATGAATCCTCATGTCTACGTAACTTATCGAAACATTGTGGGAGGTCTAGTTATGTTACCGTTCGCGTATTTTCTTGAAAGGTACGTATCTTATAATTAACGGTCGATATAAATTTAGGATTTTAATTTTATATATGCTGTTAGTGAGAAGACCTTTTTAGATCATTAGAGAATTGTTATTTGAGTTGCTCACCATTTTTAGCCTATAAATTAAATATGTTGGCTATATATGTTGATAGGGTAAAGGACTTTTTACATTACCGATGAACTTTGTTATGTCAAAAAACATATTTACCTTACCAACACTATTTAACAAATATTCTTTGTATTCTTAAACTTCATTGTGTTGTCAAACTAAAACATATCGAATGGAAGGGATAATTGCACCTTTTTATTCTTCTATTATTGATAAATTCTGTATTTTGTCCTTGAAATAGATGGCTAAGTATATTTAACCTTCAATTACTTGAAATATATATATCTGATCATGTAATATACTTCCTTCGTCCACTTTTATTTGTCATGTTGCGCTTTTTGAAAGTCAACTTGACTAATTTCCAAAATTTAATTAGATTACATTAATTCTATATTTTAAATAAAAAATTTAGACTCAAAAACTATACGAAAGAACTATAAATTGCAATTTTTTGTATATCAATATGATAAAAAAATAATCGTAAAATGTTAGTCAAAGTTTTTATAGTTTGACTCTAAAAAGGGAAACTATGACAATTAAAAGTGGACGGAGGTAGTAGCAAATACCCCCTCTGTCCCTAATTACTTTTCTACTTTTGAATTGACACACCTATTAAGAAAACAATGATTGACATAGTGAATTTACCATTTTATCCCTATTAATTATGAAGTAGATGAGTTAAAAATTTAAGATTTTCAAGAAGTTCTAACTTTTTTCAAAACGGAAAAGGGTCATATTTGCCCTTGTACTCTTAGAAAAGGATCATATTTGCCCTTCGTCATACTTTTTTGATATATTTACCCTTGTCATCCAACTTTAAGGCCATATTTACCCTCCATCCGTTAAATCTCCATATTACCCTTGTGCGAGTGACTGACGGGGGGAAGCGATGGCTATTAAAATCATTTTAACCCACACACATCCACTAATGAACCCAAGAACAAGTCTTTAACTATCGTGGGTTTGGGTTTTATATTTGTATGGGACAGATGGGTTAATGTAATTGTAATCATATCGAGAATACAAAGCACTTGTGAAATTCTACTTATTTTTTAATAAAATGCAGATTAATCAATTTTATGTGTCAAGATTAGCGATGAAACTTGACTTTAATTTACTTAACAAAAATATCGAATTGAATGCTAAGATTATTCAATTTTATGCGTCAAGATTAGCGATGAAACTTGGCTTTAATTTACTTAACAAAAATATCTAATTGAATGCTAAAATCTGTATTAGTTCTAAAGTTGAGTGTTGTCTAATGTGAAAGAGGAGATACTATACAGTTTTCTACATTTGTTCCAATAATGCCCATAAAGAAATTTACGCAGAAGAATCAAGTTGGGTTTTATTTTGATTAGTGGATTGGGTTTAATGTATGGAGCAAGTTAAATAATTTTAATAATATTTAGATTTAATTATATAAAAATAAAATCCACATAGGCACAACATGAATAATATTATGTGAAAATATGGAGATTTAACGGATGGAGGGTAAATATGGCCTTAAAGTTGGATGACAAGGGCAAATATATCAAAAAAGTATGACGAAGGGCAAATATGATCCTTTTCTAAGAGTACATGGGTAAATATGACCTTTTTTCGTTTTCAAAATTAATTAATTGGGGGTATAATAGGTAAAGTTTTTTTGTCCTTTTTTGATTTGTCAAAATGAACAAGGAAAAAGGGACAAATAAAAAAATTAAATTGGACAAGTAGTCAAGAATAGAGGAAGTATGTCATATTTGAACTAAATTATCCTTAAATATGGAATAGTAGTACAAATTTAATATAACACATCGACAGTTGAATGATTTATTCTTTTAATTTTTTTTTTCCTTAATAATTTTTTAAATTCTCTTTTAAATGTTTTTGTTTCTTTACGCAGAAAAAAGAGACCAAAGTTAACTATGGCTTTGCTATTGGAGTTCTTTGTACTTTCTCTAATGGGGTAATTAAGCTCAATTAAACATCATTAATTATCCTTTTGAAATATAATTATTTGAGTCAAAATAATACTAACATTTTTTGTCCTTAATTTATTTCAGAGTGACTTTAACTTTGAACATGTACTCTGTGAGCTTGACTATCACTTCTCCAACACTTATAGCTTCTATGCTCAACACTATTGCTGCACTTACCTTTGTATTGGCAGTAATCCTCAGGTAATTAATTTATTAATCAAATGATTTAATAGCATTTTTATCCCTTAGTTACTAGTATTAAAATAATTTTAATCCATGTGATATATAACTAATTAAACATTTGATCCTTTGATTGTGGACACTTACAAATTTATTATAATTATTAACTAATCAATCACAAAATTACTCGTGTATTATGTTAAGCTTTTTATTTTGTTTTTATATTTGACAGTAATATAGTTCAAACAAAACATATTTCCTACACATAGACTAAGAGCACACATTTTTAATTATGGGATAATTGTTTATAAACATTAAACAAATTAAGTCATATATCACAAGATTCTTGTGAAGTTGCGAGAGCTTAATTAAACTCTAATTTTAAAAGTTTTCTAATATTGTAGGTTGGAAATTGTTAATGTTGGAGACCCTAGAGGAATAGCAAAAATCATAGGAACACTTGTTTCTTTGGCTGGAGTTATGATTATGACATTGTACAAAGGAGCAATTTTGAAGAATTTATGGCATCCTATTATATATATTCATCAAGGAAACAATGTTGTCAAGGAAGATTGGGTCAAGGGCTCAATTTTGACTTTTGCTAGTTGCATTACAAGGGCCATATGGTACATCATGCAGGTCATTTTTACAAAAATCTTGTCTATATTTAGACTAGTTTTGCACTATATAAATTGTTCTATGTGTTAAATTTTATGTTTCTTGATTTTTGTTAGGGGTCAAGGGTTAGGTTGAGGCCATTAGGTGTCTATTATGATAGTTTAGTTGTGACAGATTCATTACTAGAGACGAATTTACAATTTGAAGTTTATGTTTTTTTTATAGAATGACCTTAAGTTAATATATAATAATAATGTGATTTCAGTCAAATTTTTATAAAGTAAGCAAGCTTTTTTGTCACTATCAGAAAATCGCTAACTCCAAAGTGGAGTTCTTGTCTATGTTTCTTGATTGTGTTGAGGTTATAAAGGGTTGGCTCGACAAGAGTTAGGCTATGTTGTCGTGTCCAGTTTTGGGTCGTGACAGACTCACATTCTTGGAGCTAGAAGACAACTTACGGGTTCAGCTGAACCAAGTAGGTTTGTTCTATATCGTATGTTTGTGTTATGTAATTTACTAAATATATACTAGTTTTATACTCTATTGGTACTAGCTAACGTCTTGCCTAATTGTCTTTAACTGAATTATTTGTATCCGGGAAGTCCCCTCGGCCAATCGTTGAAGTATATACTAGCATTTGAAATGGTTATCATAATATTCAGAATCTATAAAGTTCAAATTCTGAGTCTGCCTATGCATCCTTCAAATTTTACAGGCTTACACACAGAAAAGATATCCAGCACAATTGTCACTGACAACATGGGTGAGTTTTGTTGGAGCAGCACAATCAGCTTTCTACACAGTCATAGTACAACATAAAAGAGCTGCTTGGACTATTGGTTTCAACATTGATTTTTGGTCTACAATATATGGGGTAAGAAGGGTCCGATCATCTCTCGTAGCTATGTTGCTCGGACTTATCAAAAATGCTTCTGGATGTATAATGAATCACTAAAAATAACTCACGTTTTGGAGGATTTGATACAAATATGATAATATTTTTAAAGAATTCGAGTAATATAACTCTCTCTAGTGAAATTTTATTTGATTGTGACAATGTTTTGGGATTTAAAACAGGGTATAGTTATTTCTGGTTTGGTGTGCTATATTCAATTGTGGTGCACAGAGCAAAAGGGACCTGTTTTTGTGACTATGTTCAATCCACTATCAACTATACTAGTGGCACTTCTAGCATACTTTGTGTTTGGGGAAAAGCTATATATGGGCAGGTAAAAAACTCATTTTATATGCTCAAATATAGACAACTACTACTTTCTATTTTGTATAATTAGTCGGAAATGAGCTTAAATGATGCGACATGATCAATGAAGATTACTATTGCCGATCTCAACTAGGTTGGGATTGACGTATAGTTGATAGATTTCAAAAGTCTTTTATTTCTTTCTTAAGCTCTGTGACAAATCAAACTATAACACCAAAATAAATCCTTGCAAGTTTATTTAAGCTTAACTCATGTCATTATCATGACGACTCAAACTATGTCAAATAAATTTATATGAAGGAAGTAGAAAACAATGAATTCTTTATGTTCTAAATAATTAACCATTTTTTTTCTATTTTCAGCATCATAGGAGCAATAATTGTCATTGTTGGCCTTTACTTGCTCTTGTGGGGAAAAGAAGATCCAAAATCAGAGAGAAAAGATGAAGAAAAATGCTGCACAACAAAAAAAGAATTACATCATGAAGACAATATGATGCAGAAATTCACATCAGATGCTAATCCCAATGATACTAAAAAACCAAAACAATAAAAATAAAGACAAAATTCATAGAACGGAACATGTGGTTCTAATCTGAATTAGTCGGACCAGTAATTTTCAAATATCAGATAGAAACAATCGTGATTACAAATAGTTTGGGCTTGGGACTATCATGTTGAAGGTCTCAAGTTCGAAATCCCTTGCCAGCGAAAGTAAGGGATTTGCCTTCTGGGTCAAGCTCGTAGCACCGGACTTGCCTAATGCGGATTATCACTCCTATGTAATTTGCAAGCTATTGCATAGGCGAGCGGAGTTTTACCCTTGTGCGCACCCAAGGATAGCTCATAAAAAAAAAATCCTATCTCTTAAAAATCCAAAATCCAATATATGAACCCAAGGATAGCTCATAAAAAAAAATCCTATCTCTTAAAAATCCAAAATCCAATATATGAGCACTATTGCTGCACGAACCTTTGTATTGGCAGTAATCCTCGGGTAAATAATTTAATTAAAGGATTAGTAGCACTTTTAATTAATTAGTTACTACTAATAAAGTCTGAATTTTAATCCTCGTGATGTATAACACATCTAATTAACCATCAATTATTAAAGTCTACTTAATTTTAGTCCACATATATGTAACGTCTTTTTAGTAATGGATACAAAAGATATCCAGCACACTTGTCACTGACAACATGAATTAGTTATATTGGAGTAGCACAATCAACTTTCTAAACAATCACAGTACAACACAAAAGAGCTGCTTGAATTATTGGTTTCAACGTTGATTTTTGGTCAATACTGTATGGGGTAAGAAGGTTCTCCAATTAATTTCTCTAATTATGTTGTTCGGATTCATAAAAAATGTCGCTCAATAAATGTCAAATTTTTAAAATGATAGTACATTTTTTGGAACATTCAATACAAATACGATAATATTTATTGAATAAAGTCTGAGTAACATAGTTTTCTAGTGAATTTTATTTGTTTGTACAAATAAAATTGTGGTGCACTAATGTTAGAGGAAGTAAGATTGTGAGTGTAAGGTGAAGAGAGACAGATTTAAAATTTAAATGAAACATGATAAATTTACATTTCTTCGTAGTATATATTTATTATAGATAGTAGTATGTATTTTAAAAAATTTAGAATGGTGAAAACTTCACCTTTATATACCGGCAAGAAATATAGAGAATTTTTAGTACTTTTTATTTTTATTTTGTACAATAATATTAGTCCCCGTTCAGCCATAGATTTTAGTTCAAAAATTTCAAAATAATATTTGGAGATTATTTCAAATAGTTGTTTCTTTATCAAATTGACTTCTTATTTCAACTTCAACCTTGAAATAAAAATTTTGAAATTGGAAAAACAGTATAAGAAGCTTTTAGAGTTTCACTAAAAAAACTTTAAATTTGTTTGATATAATACATAAATATGCCCTTTAACTTGACCTCAACTCACATTTATACCCCCAATTTTGAGTATGCACAAATAGACACTTAAATTTGTATAAAATTAAGCGAATAGACACATATGTCCTACATGGTAATTTTTTCATATGTGATGTCCTATATTTATTATGCCACGTAGGACTCATGTATCCACTTGTTCATCTTTATGCAAGTTTAAGTGCGTATTTGTGCACACCCAAAATTGAAAGATATAAATATGAAATAAGACCAAGTTAAATGACATATTTATATATTATGCCAATTTGTTTTGTATAATCTAGACCTAAATTGTAAAAAGAGATATGAAAGAATAGGAATAACCGATTGATAAAAAAGTCTAAATTCTGACAAATTAAGAGATTAGAGGGAAAAAACCGAAATGCTTCATTTGAGATTTAAACTATACTCCCTCCATTTTCATATTAGATGGACATTTTTAATTTTATACGATAATTAAGAAATTATTAATAGATTAATCAACTTTACTCTTTTGCCCTACGTTCATATTAATCAGCTTGAAAAAAGAAATTTTAAATCTTCAAAATTTATTTAAACTTTCAAGGGCTATATTAATTGTAGGAGTAAAATGAAAAAATTAATTAGTTTTATCATGATTTAATAAATGATCATATAATACGAAATAAATATTTGTTCTAAGATACCCACAAAACATAGACATTGGAGTACTTACTTCAAGGGAATTCAAAAGTTTATACAATTATAAAAGCTTTTGTTTACCCCTTCTTTTTCTAACTATTAATCATTGATTCCATAATTATTTTAATGCTTTTCTATACTATATAATATATGCAAAAGAGTTTTTATGTGGTTCCATCATCATATCTATTTTAATTTATTTTAGTGGAGCCTGAAAATGTACTAATCCACTTAGTGCTATTTCTCTTCTTTAAAAAATTCTTAATGTTATGGTGATATTGGATTACACGCATCTCTATGGATTTTGAGAAAGGTAAAGTGTACACAGATCTTACTTTTATTTAATAAAAATAGAACGACTGTTTTCAATAAATCCTTAATCGAAAAAGGAAATATAAATATAAAAGCAATAATAACAACAAAATAATGCGAAATGAAGAGAATTACGCAACAAACAAAAGAAAGATCAGTAACGAGTATGACAACGAAATAATACAATAATCGAAATATAAAATAAAAACACAGATAATAATCAAAATTGAAGAAGAAGAAACTATAAGGATAATGCTAATATTACCAATAAGAAAGAAGGTCAAAATGTGTGTATATTCCATTTGTCATAAATTAATATTCAAGAATAGTTGTGTCCATTATTTAAATCTTCACTCTTAAGTTTATTTTTTTCTTCTTTATAACAAACAAGAAACATATTCTATCTTTGTGTGGGAAAAGTATAAAATTATTTTCACCACAAGAATATGTTTGATCAAGAACAAGATCCTATCTCTTAAAAATTTGAAGGAATCGAACCCCATTCTTAATTCCACATTAATTGTCTATATTAGCTAGTAGTAAATTGTGGTCATTTTATAAAAGAAAGGGCCATTTTTGCAAAGATTTATGGCTTTGGAGAAGTTCAAACCTCATCTTCTTATGATTTTAGTACAAATTTGCTACACTTTTCTTTATTTCATTACTGAAGCTTCATTCAGCCATGGGATGAACCCTCATGTCTACGTAACTTGTCGAAACATTGTGGGAGGTCTAGTTATGTTACCGTTCGCGTATTTTCTCGAGAGGTACATATCATATAATTAACAGTCGATATAAGTTTAGGATTTTAATTTTATATATGCTGATAATGAGAAGACATTTTTAGATCATTAGAGAATTGTTATTTGAGTTACTCACCATTTTTACCTAACTATCAATTAGATTTTAAGTTACGCTACGTATTATTTGCCTATAAATTAAAGATGTTAGCTATTTATGTTACTCCCTCCATTTCAAATTAATTGAATTTTTGAAACATATTTCATTTTTCAAATTAACTTAATTGTTCAATTTTCAAGTCTACTTTTAGAATGTTCTTCCAATTTTACCCTTCATTAGTTATTGGAATTAGTGTAATTAATGTTTAGTTATTTTAATCATAAATTTGATAATAATTAATAAGGGTAAAAATGAAAAGGTATGCCTAATTTATGTCTTAATATTCTTTTAGGGCTTTTTACATTACTGATGAGCTTTGTTATGTCAAAAAAACATATTTACCTTATGATCAAATACGATTTAAAAAATATTCTTTACATTCTTAAACTTCATTGTTGTCAAACTAAAATATATGGGATGAAAGGGATAATTGCAATTTTGATCCTTCAGTTATTGATAAGTTCTTTTTCTTTGTCCTTGAAATAGTTGGCTAAGTACATTTAACCTTCAATTACTTGGAATATATATTTCTGATCCTGTAATATAGCAAATATTCGCTCTATTTCAATTACTTGTTCACTTTTAAATTGACATACCTATTAAGAAAATAATGATTGACATAGTGAGTTTACTATTTTACCCCTATTAATTATGAAGTGGATGAATTAAAAATTTAAGATTTTCAATAAGTTCTACCTTTTTCAAGGTATAATATGTTAAAAAAAAATTGTTCTTTCTTGATTTGTCAAAATAGATAAGTAAAAAATTAAAGGACAAATAAAAAAAACAAACTAGACAAGTAATTAGGGACAGAGAGAGTATGTGATATTTAAACTATTTTTGAACTAGATTATCCTTAAATCGACCGTTAAATGATTTAGCACTTGAAAAATTCATTAACTTTGTGGAAATGACAACTCAGAGGAATTAAAAGTGCACACATCAATTATTTAAAAGTTTTTTTCCTTAATAATTTTTTAAATTCTCTTTTAAATGTTTTTGTTTCTTAATGCAGAAAAAAGAGACCAAAGTTAACTATGGCTTTGCTATTGGAGTTCTTTGTGCTTTCTCTTATGGGGTAATTAAACTCAGTTAGACATCACTAATTATCCTTTTGAAATATATAACTATTTCATTATTTGAGGCAAAATAATACTAACTTTTTTTTTGTCCTTAATTTATTACAGAGTGAGTTTAACATTAAACATGTACTTTGTGAGCTTCACTTTCACATCTCCAACATTTATAGCTTCTATGCTCAACACTATTGCTGCACTCACCTTTGTATTGGCAGTAATCCTCAGGTAATTAATTTATTAATCAAATGATTTAATAGCATTTTTATCCCTTAGTTACTAGTATTAAATAATTTTAATTTTAATCCATGTGATATATAGCTAATTAAACATTTGATCCTTTGATTATGGACATTTACGAATTTATTATAATTATTAACTAATCAATCACAAAATTACTCATATGTTATGTTAAGTTTATATATATATATATATATATATTTTGTTTATATTTGACAGTAATATAGTTCAAACAAAACATATTTCCTACACATAGACTAAGAGCATACATTACATCAAAAATGATCTTTAGCGACATTTAATTAACAACAATAGCTTAATTGTCACTAAATATGTACTTTCTAAGTGACAATTAACACTCTTTGTATATGTTCCTAAAGCCTTTAGCGATATTGGATCCATTGGCAATTAACTGATACCGGTAAAGGCTTTAACACTCTTTGTTAATGTGTATATTTATTGCCACTAAAAGGTGTTTTTATTATAGTGACATTTTAATTATGGGATACTAGCTTATTTATAAACATTAAACAAATTAAGTCATATATCACAAGAACCAAAATAAGATTCTTGTGAAGTAGTGAGAGCTTAAACTCTAATTTTAAAAGTTTTCTAATATTGTAGGTTGGAAATTGTTAATGTTGGAGACCCTAGAGGAATAGCAAAAATCATAGGAACACTTGTTTCTTTGGCTGGAGTTATGATTATGACATTGTACAAAGGAGCAATTTTGAAGAATTTATGGCATCCTATTATATATATTCATCAAGGAAACAATGTTGTCAAGGAAGATTGGGTCAAGGGCTCAATTTTAACTGTTGCTAGTTGCATTACATGGGCCATATGGTACATCATGCAGGTCATTTTTACAAAAATCTTGTCTATATTTAGACTAGTTTTGCACTATATAAATTGTTCTATGTGTTAAATTTTATGTTTCTTGATTTTTGTTAGGGGTCAAGGATTAGGCTGAGGCCATTAGGTGTCTATTATGATAGTCTAGTTGTGACAGATTCATTACTAGAGACGAATTTACAATTTGAAGTTTATGTTTTCTTATAGAATGACCTTAAGTTAATATATAATAATAATGTGATTTCAGTCAAATTTTTATAAAGTAAGTAAGCTTTTTTGTCACTATCAGAAAATTGCTCAACTCCAAAGTGGAGTTCTTGTCTATGTTTCTTGATTGTGTTGAGGTTATAAAGGGTTGGCTCGACAAGAGTTAGGCTATGTCCAGTTTTGGGTCGTGACAGACTCACATTCTTGGAGCTAGAAGACAACTTACGGGTTCAGCTGAACCAAGTAGGTTTGTTCTATATCGTATGTTTGTGTTATGTAATTTACTAAATATAGTTTGTGTTAACTGGATTATTTGTACATAGAAGTCCCCTCGGCCAATCGTCGAAGTATTTACTAGCATTTGAAATGGTTATCATAGTATTCAAAATCCATAAAGTTCAAATTCTGAATCTGTCTACGCATCCTTCAAATTTTACAGGCTTACACATTAAAAAGATATCCAGCACAATTGTCATTGACAACATGGGTGAGTTTTGTTGGAGCAGCACAATCAGCTTTCTACACAGTCATAGTACAACATAAAAGAGCTGCTTGGACTATTGGTTTCAACATTGATTTTTGGTCTACAATATATGGGGTAAGAAGGGTCCAATTATCACTCGTAGTTATGTTGCTCGGACTTATCAAAAATGCTTATGGATGTGTAACGAATCTCTAAAAATAACACACGTTTCGGAGGATTTGATACAAATATGACAACATTTTTAAAGAATTCGAGTAATATAACTCTCTAGTGAAATTTTATTTGATTGTGACAACCTTTAACAACTTTTTTTTTTTGGGATTTATAACAGGGTATAGTTATTTCTGGTTTGGTGGGCTATATTCAATTGTGGTGCACAGAGCAAAAGGGACCTGTTTTTGTGACTATGTTCAATCCACTATCAACTATATTAGTGGCACTTCTAGCATACTTTGTGTTTGGGGAAAAGCTATATATGGGCAGGTAAAAAAACGCATTTTTACATGCTACTTTCTATTTTGTATAATTAGTCAGAACTGAAAAATGAGCTTAAATGAAGCGACATGATCAATTAAGATTACTATTGCCGATCTCAACTTGGCTGGATTGATCTTATAGTTAATTTTTTTTAATTGTGGAAGCTTCATGCACTAAAGACATACTCCTCTGTTTCACTTTGTTTGACACTGTTTATTTATATTCACACAATGACACAAATGTTATGACATATTTAAGAGACAAATTTCAAATGTCTTTTATTTCTTTCTTAAGCTCTATGACAAGTTAAACTATAACACCAAACTACGCTTTAGTTCCAAATGAGTTGTGGTCAGTTATATAAATCCTCGCAAGTTTATTTAAGCTTAACTCATATCATTATCATGACACTCAAACTATGTCAAATAAATTTATATGGAGGAAGTAGAAAACAATGAATTCTTTATGTTCTAAATAATTAACCATTTTTTTTTTCTATTTTCAGCATCATAGGAGCAATAATTGTCATTGTTGGTCTTTACTTGCTCTTGTGGGGAAAAGAAGATCCAAAATCAGAGAGAAAGGATGAAGAAAAATGCTGCACAACAAAAAAAGAATTACATCATGAAGACGATATGATGCTGAAATTCACATCAGATGCTAATCCCAAGGATACTAAAAAAACAAAACAATAAAAATAAAGACAAAAATTCATAGAACAGAACATGCGGTTCTAATCTGAATTAGTCGGACCAATAATTTTCAAGTATCAGATAGGAAATTTGGTTTTGCAGTCTGTTACAAATAACATGTTATTTAATTGTATAATCGTTTTTATAAGAGAATATTAAAGAAAATCCTTAAAAGATCATTCTCTTCTATACATCAAAAAATGTACCATCCGTACTTAATAACAGAAGGATTGGGCTGAAATATTTAAAATTGTCCTTTTGATGGGAGCCTTTGAGCAACAATGCAATTGTCTCTATATGACCTAAATGTCATGTGTTTGAGCCGTTAAAGCAGTCACTAATGCTTGCATTAGGATAGACTGTCTACATCACATCCCTTGAGGTGTGACCCTTCTCTGTACACTGCTAACACCAGATGGTTTGTGCACCGGACCATTTTTTTTTTACATGTAAAGTTGTCCCTTTAGCTCAGTCTTTCTCTATATCCACAACTATCTTCCCACAATTTCTAAAACAAATCCCAAGAATACTTTTTACATTTGTACCAACAAACACAACTAAACTCCAAAAATAAAATTTCCATACTATGGCTCTAAGTCAACTGGTAAAACAACATTTTTTGATCCTCTTCCATGTCCAAATGAAAAACATGATCTTTTAACATGACTCACTTGCCTCTGTTGCTGCATAATCTCCTCAATTGGTACGATAAATTCGTCGATCCGACGATGAATCCATAGAAAACGATCTCCTAATTGGTTGAATTATAAATTGTTCATCCTTGTTTCTTATGTCAATGCATTCATGACTCAATTTTTTGACTTTCTTTCTTGTGACTTTTGGTTCAATTTTGTTAGCACAATGGCTAGTTGATAAATGCCCTGTTGATAATTCCCTTGAATTTAATCTTTCTTGAATTCCAATTATTTCTATCACAACATAATCTTCTTCTATGAAATTATTACTTATTTGAGGATCTTGATCTTGAGGAATGATGATTTGATCTAAAGGGAACTTTCTTGTAATGTGTGATAAGAGGCTATTTCTGCAAAGTGGACAATTTGTGTTATTTTGTAGCCAAATGTCAATACAATCAATGTGAAAAAAATGGTGACAATTTGGAATGACTTTGAGATTTTCATCTTCTTGAAATTCACTCAAACAAACAACACATTCACATGTAGTACTTGCATTGTTAATCCATTCACTTTTCTTGTACCTAAAAAGGGGGATTGAACGAATAATTGATTCGTTCAGTCCTTGATTTTCAGGTGAGTGAATAGTTAAAGGGTTTTCAGTATGTCGTCTTATCGAGGATGAAAATTGCCTTGAAAGTTCAATCCTTTGCCAATTCAAGCAGCATTTCATGACAAAAATGTAGTAAGTGACTAACAAGAAACCAATGGCTAATATGCCTATAATGGCTATGGCCATGATTGGAAAACCATAATGGGATGATGAATGCACATTACGTGGCGGATCCATATTGGTTGATGAACTCGGGAAGATACGTTAGTCTATTAGAATATGCTAACGCGATTGGTAGTTTAATGTATGGTATGCATTGCACTAGGCTGGATATTATGTTTTTGGATCTCAAAGGACCAAAATCCTATGAGAAAAAAGGGATAAAAATGAAGAAAATTTTGGTGGATATTTGATAAAACAAATTAGAAGTAGTATATATAAGAGGAAATAAATCGAATGAATTAATGAGCTTATATTATATATATATATATATATATATATATATAAGTTTTTGGAATTTTATTAAGGTGTGAAGCAGAGGGAAGTGTGAACATATAGCTACTTAGTTGTTGACTTCTGTCTTGTCCTCCAATGAGGAATATTTTAGTTGGCAAGGTTATATTTTAAAAATATTTATATCTGTTTTTTTTTTTTCCAATTCGATCTCGAAATCGAGACTTGATTAAGGAAAGAATAATGAGACTTCTAATTAAGGAAAGAGTAATCTCATTATTGCACCACATTCTAAAAAAATATATCTCATTCAAAATCGTAACTCGTAACATTATAGTTTTGTGGTCCATAAGTCTTGGTTTGTTATTATAGTAATTGAATTTTACTCATTATAATAGTGAAATTACTAATATTTTTTTGTTGTTGTTATAGTAAATAATTAAAGTTCAACGATTGTATATAATAGTTAAACAACTCGACTTTGTAATTATCTTATTCCATTATTTTTTCTTAAAAAATTAAATTAAACAATCCGAGTTTATAGTTGTGTTATTCCATCATTATTTTTTTTTGGTTTACCTAAATTTAATTCATTGATTGTAATGTCAAATTAATTTGGTGACCAAAAGAATTATAACTGCACGTTAAAGTTATCATCAAAAGTCCTCACTTGTTTTATTCTATGATGACCAACAAATTAGGTACAAATATATGTATTTTCCACCAACTAAGCTATTAATTAATTCTATCCAACAATACATAACAAATGATAAAAACTCACTAATTATTTTTATTTTCTACAATTCTAATCATCTATGATTTCACACACTTTATTACTCCCTCCGTTCCATTTATGTGAGGTAATTTGACTCCGCACAGAGTTCAAAATAGAAAGGAAGACTTTTAAGACTTGTAATCTAAAATGAATGATAAAAATTTGTATGGCTATAAATAATTTCATTAAGAATAAAATGAACATTTTAAAGTTGAATTGTTACTTAATATAGAAAAGGTGTTCTTCTTTTTTGGGACTGACTAAAAAGAAAAGTAAGTCATATAAATTTAGACAGCGAGAGTAATAGTTATACAGTCAAATCTATAATAGGAAGGAAGAACCCTTTGAATTTATTTTTTTTGGTTTCCCACCCGGTGTCCGGAGCCCACATTGGAGCTCCGACTAAATCCGGATTGTGCTCTGCAGGGCCCATTCGGGGGTGGCGCTCCCAAGAAGAATTTCTCTATACTCAGGGCGCAAACCCGAGATCTCTGATTAAGGGTAAAACACTCCTACCAGTGCACCAGAACCCATATTGGTAGAACCCTTTGAATTGCTATGGAACTTATAAACTTTTCAATATTTTATTAACACTAGATCTATAATCCACATGATTAGAACAGTATAAAGCCAAAAGCAACGACTTTTTCTTTAAATAATAATAGTTGATTTTGTTGGCATTTCTATTTTTTTTAAAAGGGGAAAAATAATAATAATAATAGGTACTTGTTCGAATTGTGTAATCAAATGTGAACAGTAATTTTCTTTTAGTCCTATATTCACATTTGGTGATGAATGTAATGAAACTAGATGGTATAAGCCCGTGCAAGCAAGGCCCAACGGTGTGAAAATATTAAAATATTTTTGTACTCCATATTGTATTTAATTTTTCCATAATTAAAATTAGAATAATGATAAGTCATTATTATATTGTCGTTGTAGTACAAAATCAAGGTTGTTTTGAGAACTTCTTTGTCAATTTAGTACCACAATAAACCCAAGTTGGCCAGCAAAGCAAAAAATCATTCAACCTTATGCAAAGTGTAATCGTTCACTATATACATAATTCCAATGATCAGTTGATAATAACAGAAAATAAGAAAACTTGTTACCATACCATTACTTATAAGCTATTACTTAGCTTCATAACAATAAGTTTATATTCATAATTATTTGTACTACAGCTGTCCTTAATCAGTACAAATCCTTAGATCTGGACTAGTTATTGGCTTATTAAAAGCAGCTTCAAGAACTAAACTGTGTAGGTAGTTGTGTATCCATGAGAAGATTAAAATAGTTTTGTATACTAAGTTGGAACTTGGAAGGAATCTTCAAGTGACATTATAGCTACAAGTTAATTTTCAAGTGAAAAGAGTTCGAAAAATTGGATATAGTAGAATTATAATTTAATTTTCGTTTTTGGAAAAACTCAAAACAAATTTTGTAGGAAATGGTAAATGTAAATCTCATATTGAAACATCATCAAAGGATGTAGTGTAGCAAATGTTGTTACTAACTAGATGTCCCAATTTCAAACTCTACATATGAAAAAAATCTTGATAGAAAGTGCTTCCTCCAAATGGATCTTAAATTAATCGAGCTCCGATATAAGAAACGAACCCCAAAATGGAAAATGGAAAAAAGTCTCACATTCCGAATTTTATGTTGGGCTTATAAAACGAGCCACAGAATGTTGAATGGATCAATGTATAAGCAGAAAAGCCCACACAAAAGCCCATTGGAGATGCTGAAACTTTGATTCTGGACCAACTAATCCTTTGGGTTTACTTCTTTAGCAAGGTTGTCAAGTGGGTCGGTTAAGCTTCTAATCGATCTCGGATCGATTAGGAAATTAAGGAAATACTCCATAAAAATAAAATAATTACAAACATATATCCTTTTCATTCATATCTCACTAAATAATTACAATATATACCTCCAAACTAATTTTGCTTAACTGATACTAAGTCAATATCATATATTGTATTGGTATCATTAAGACTAATAAATTTGCTTAATTGATACTAAATTAGATATATATATACACACTCTTATAGTATTATTGATAATGAGTAGTTTCTGAACAAAAAACCTTAATGATATCACAACAATATACATATATTCTTATAGTATCATTGACTTATGAGTAATTTCTGAACAAGAAACTTTAATGATATCACAACAATATACATATGCTCTTATAGTATCATTGACTAATGAGTAATTTTTTAACAAGAAATCTTAATGATACCAATACAGTATATGAATATTGATTTAGTATCAGTTGACGGAAATTATCAGCCTTAATGGGGGTATGAACTGTACTTTCTTTTTTTTTGAGAGAATAGATATTTCTTGAATTACTTTGAATTTTTATATAAACATGCAATTATTTTGAGTTTTATGGTCCATTTATGTCGTTTTTCCAATATTAAACTGACTTAAGCTCGCTAAAAGATTAGAGGGCCGGATTTAAGGGGTTGTCCTAAGGGTTTGGCCCGCTGGGCTAGCTAGCCCACTAAGGGATCGATTTAAGGCCTCTCAAGGATCGGTCGGAGACCCAAATCGGCCCACTATGGAATTTTTCTTTTTTTAAAAAAACTAAAAGTAGTAATAAAAACATTTAAATATTTCATTTATTCAATTTTCTCAATTTAAACCGCACAAGAAAACATATAAAAAAGTGTTTTTTTTTTCTTCTTGAGTTTGATTTTGTTTGATATAGTCATCATAAATAGATTTTGTAATAAGTCTAATTTAATAATTAAAATTATAAAAGAACAACAAAAGATTGGGTGTGTTAACTCGTTCATTTAGGCTCAAGCAATTATTGGGTGGGTTATACGGAACTTATTTATTTTGTTTCAATCCATTTTAATCTGCCCATTTGACCACTTGCATTCATCCACTTGGTGAAATTATTTCAAACATCAAAAGATATGTCTATATCTTTACTTCAAATTATTTGAAAGTAGATTGGAGTGTTATAAACTTCTTTCACCTTCTATCATTCCGTATCATCGGCGTCCTTCGACCCTTCTTTAAGGGTAAAATAAGAAAGTTACATATACGTTTGGTCAAATTTATAATTTTAGTTCAAATTTATATTTGTATAAAGACAAGCACTAAATATATACAAACTAACACATTACTTTACTATTTTAGAATTTAAAACACAAAAAAATTAAATTTTGGCTTTACCTATGCTTTGTTCCTATATTTTGGAGTTTTATATATTAGTAGGATAAAAAAAAAAGGGAAAAAAGTCAAATTGTTCTAAAATGCTTGATATGACGAAACAAATCATGTCATTAGCTCTAAGCAATAATTGTAAAGGTGCACTTATTCCTCAATCTTCTCAATGAGAATATGTCGAATTCGTAACTCGACTTCTAGCTCCGTTCTTAATAGATTATTAATGTGTATAATTTAAATTCTAGATGAAAATTGTGAGAATGATAAATTTTTTGTGCGTATCATCTATACAATGTATTTAGATAATTTAGACGTTTTTAATTTTTTACAACCATCTCAAATTAATAAATAATAATAATAATTTGATTCATAGTTATATATTTATAGATATTCAACAAATTAATTTCTTATTATATTTATCAGGTCCGAACAAAAATTATTAAATTCACGTAAATCATAACTTATAATCTTGCTCCGCACCGTCCATCAATATGCTACTAGCTAGTTAAGCAAATTAATAAATTATGCTAATACACTGGAACAAGCTTAACTAAATTGTTCAATGTAAAGAGAAAGAATAAAACATATTGGATTCCTTGTATAGTGAAAAGGCCTTTTATTAATTAATATTAAAATGCATTATAGTTTTATAAATTAATTATTTCACCCTACTCCACTTATATAGAAACGAATCTAATCTTAATTAATATTTGATCATTAATTAATGTACAATTTATATTAATTAATCTATCCTATTCCATGCACGTTCCTTTAAAAAATCCCACTAAAAAAATTAAATGCTTCTAATTAATGA